CAGGTTTTTGTGTGGACAGTAAGTTTTCAACTCCTTTGAGTAAACACCAAGGAATGTGATTGTTAGATCAAATGGTAAGAATGTGTTAAGTCTTGTAAAAAACGCCCAAACTGTCTTCCAAAGGCTGAGCCATTTTGCATTTCTACCAGCAATGAAAGGGAACGAGTTCCTGATGCTTCCATATTCTCCTTAGCACATGGTAATGTCAATGTTCCAGGTTTTGGCCATTTTAATAGGTGTAGTGGTCTCTTGTTAGAATTTGCATTTTCCTGATGACATAGATGTGAAGCATCTTTTTATATGCTTATTTTTAATTGGTTTATCTTTTTGATGTTGAATATTAGTTCTTTATGTATTCTGGATATTAATTTTTTTTAATCAAATATATATTTTGAAAACATTTTATCCCACTCTGTGGTTTGCATTTTCATTCTATCAATAGTATTTTTTGTGCATAAAAGTTTAAATTTTGATGGAATCTAATTTAACTTTTTTATTTTATTGCCTGTGTTTTTGCTGTCTTATTCAAGAAACCATTGCCAATCTAATTATAGCAATTTCCCCCTATATTTTCTTCTAAGTGTCTTACAGTTTTAGTTCTCACTTCTAGGTCTTTGGCCCTTTTTCAGTTAATATTTGCTTATAATGTTGAGTTAGGAGTCCAACTTCATCCTTCTGCATATGAATATTGGTTTCCCAACACCATTTGTCCAAGAGACTATCCTTTCACTTAAATGATCCTTGCACCGTTATTGAAAATCGTTTGGCTCTATTTGTGAGGGCTTCTTTCTGTGCATTGTTTTACCCATTGGTCTTTCTGCCATTACCACACTGTATTTTTTTTAACCACACTGTTTTGATTACTGTAACTTTGTAGTATATTTGACATTAGAAAGTGTGTGCCTTTGTTCATTTTTTCAAGACTGTTTTGGCTATTTTGGGTCTCTTAAGATTTCATCTGAATTTCAGGATGGGTTTTTCTAGTTTTACAAAAACTATTATTGGGATTTTGATAGAGATTACACTGGATTTGTAGATTGCTTTGGGAAGTTCTGACATCTTAACAATATTATGTTTTCCAATTTACAAAGGTGTGATGTTTTTCTAGTTATTAGTGTCTTCTTCCTTTTTTAGCAATGTTTGGTAGTGGTCAGCGTACAATTCTTTTGTCTCATTGATTACATTTATTCCTAAGTACTTTATTTTTTTTTTTTTGATGGGATCATACATGGAATTACTTTCTTAATTTCCTTTTGGGTTACTTACTACAGTGTCTAGAAATGTCTTCATACATTGGATAAAATGTACTTGCTAGAAACCTTTATTTAACACCTAAGAGCTATCCAATTAAATGTATCTGTAGTTTGTGTTTAAAATATCCTAGTAAATTACATGGTCTACCTGAATGCCAAAATTAAATATGTAAAACAGGAGAAATCGCAGTAGTTTTAATTTGGAGAGGCAGGTGGGAAGAAGCTGTTTCTCCAAGTCAGAAAGTGAGAATTTGACTTTAAGAAAGACCCAAGAGCACAGGCTTCTGGTCCATCAGGGGGCTTTAGGCAGAGAGGAGCAGCCTGAAGGATGAATGAAAGCCTAACAGAGCTTTGGAGACCAGGCAGGAGAAACTTCAGGGGAACCTGGTCTTTTATCAAGACAGATGCAACCAGTATTTCCGTTCTGCTTGCTTGTTAATGCAGTGGGGCGGAATATTTAAACTGAATTACACTTGGGCTAAAGTTGCTGGTCTCTTTCTTAAGTCAGAAATCGTGCGGCAGTGAGATTTCCAAGACTCCTATGTGAAACACAATCTCAACCAACCAACCCCAGCGACAAATCTTGGGGAGTAGGGGAGGAGGAATGATGCTTTCCTAGAGTTAATGTGATTGTCTCTCAAATCTTGAGACTCACGCAGAATTCAGCTCTCCCCCAAAACAAACGTAGGCCCCGGCCCCGGAGGCCGCCCTCCCCTGGGGGGCTCAGCCTCAGGCCCAGGGGGGAGCTCCGCCAGCATCCCCTGGGACCCCGACCTGCATGACGTTCAGCCTCGACCTTCAGGCGACAGCGTCACTGGACCTTCAGGTGACGGCGTCTCCGGGCTCAGACGCCTCCTCGGGGGTTTGGGGGCGAAGAGAGTCCACAGCGCAGCCGGGACAGCGGTTCCCACCGCCGCCCCAGCGGGAGGGACCGGGCGCTTGGACTCGTTGCTCACGTGCCGCTGGCGCGGCTGCGTTGCCGGGCAACGCGGAGGCGTGGCCTGGGGTGGTGTGAGCGCTGATGCACCAGGTGCTGGGGGTTATTTACCCCAGGCTGTGCCTTCCCTGTTCAGCACGTGGTCCTGAGGGCTGCATCCCTCCCACCGTCTACACACCGTTCCCAGATCTAGGCATTGTTTCTTTCTTTTTTTTAAAAAATATATATTTTATTGATTTTTTTATAGAGAGGAAGAGAGAGGGAGAGGAAGAGAGAGGGGTAGAGAGTTAGAAACATCGATGAGAGAGAATCATCGATCAGCTACCTCTTGCACACCTCCTACTGGGGATGTGCCCCCAACCAAGGTACATGCCCTTGACCGGAATCGAACCTGGGACCCTTCAGTCCGCAGGCCCACGCTCTAACCGCTGAGCCAAACGGTTTCCGCTAGGCATTGTTTCTGAGCCCTCCAACACCCTTCAATCCCTGAGCCATGTCTTCATGGAGCAGTAATAACATCCTGGAGAAGGGACCATTCAGAGGAGACCTTCTTAGCGAAGAGCCCAGCCTCTGTAGTTGGATGGGTTTTAGGGGCTACCCAGCCCCAAGCCCCAACTGTACTTCCTGTGGTATGTGTACAATTTGGGGGAGAGGGTGCGTGCTGAGTTAAGGACCAGAGCTTTCATCAGATTCCCAAATGGCTCTTAAACCCCCCCCCCCCCCCCCCATCTTAAAAACGCACAGGATTAGGAGACAGGTTTGGCTTTAGGTAAGAAACCTAGATAGTTTGGGCTCCTTGGTGTTTAGGTTAAGAAAATGTTTACTAGGGCCGAAACCAGTTTGGCTCAGTAGATAGAGAGCATTGGCCTGCTGACTGAAGGGTCCCAGGTTCGATTCCGGTCATGTACCTTGGTTGCGAGCACATCCCCACCGGGGGGTGTGCAAGAGGCAGCTGATCGATGTTTCTCTTTCTTTCTTTCTTTTTTTAAAATATATTTTTATTGATTTTTTTACAGAGAAGAAAGGAGAGAGATAGAGAGCCAGAAACGTCGATGAGAGAAACATCGACCAGCTGCCTCTTGCACACCCCCCACCGGGGATGTGCCCGCAACCAAGGTACATGCCCTTGACCGGAATCGAACCCGGGACCCTTCAGTCCGCAGACCGATGCTCTACCACTGAGCCAAACCGGTTTCGGCCGATGTTTCTCTTTCATCAATGTTTCAACTCTCTATCCCTCTCTCTTCCTATCTGTAAAAAAATCAATAAAATATATATTTTTTTAAGAAGAAAATGTTTACTAGGAGCTGCCAGGATCATGGGATAAACATTTGAGGTTATCACAGCGTAACAACCATTTGCATGTTACATCTTTATTATATAGGATGGTCACAGAGAGAGTCTGATAAGATTTGGAGAAAAGAAAAAAAAAAAGATGTTTTTAAGGACACACTGGGGTAGTTTAACATCTGCAGTGCTCAGTTGTTACTTAATAAAAGCGCCATACTCCCTGCAGCCTATGTGTTTTGTGGTGTTTGTATATAAGATATAAATGTGTTAAATATAAAATATTTTAAAGCATCCCACAATTTTTGTAACTATGTTTTGGCATTTCTTCTTACCTTCATATCATGTGAGCCCTAAAACATGTAAATGGCCCAAGTCTCTGGATTTCTGAGAGTCCCTGGAAACTAATGGGACTTCCCCCCCCCCCCCTTTTTTTTTCCTAAAATATATTTTTTATTGATTTCAGAGAGGAAGGGAGAGGGAGAGATAGAAACATCATGTTGAGAGAGAATCATTGATCGGCTGCCTCCTGCATGTTCACTGCTGGGGATCAAATAGGCAACCTAGCATGTGGCTTGACCGGAATGGAACCCAGGACCCTTCAGTCCCCAGGCTGGCGCTCTATCCACTGAGCCAAACCAGCTAGGGCCCACTCCGTTTTCTTATTTTAACAATCCGAAATCCATGCTTGTTGGTTACTATGCATAGCACTACCTATGCACCTGTTGCTTTACAGCAGGAGGCCCTCTCCACTTTCAAGTCCCCAGCTCGTCAAAGCAAATCAATTTTCAAAGATGAATGTACCTTTGGTCCTATTCTGCTCCGTTCTTTACCTGTGTTCTTCACACAGATTGAGAAGTGAAATTCAGGGACTTTACTAGTTTAAGGTATAATTTAAACTAAAGTCAGTGGTCAACATTAACCAAGATACTCTGCTCTGATGAATATAATTCCTAATCCTGCCTAGTCAGAGCCACCCTTCCATCATCAGCCAGCGACCCGCTTGTTGGAGTTGGTGGTTATGCAAGAGTCAGGTTTCAAAAAGGAAAAACTCAAGGGAACTTGAAGGGAGATAATCTCAACATCTATCTGAGGTTAATTCTGTGTCCACCAAGCACTATTTGATGTAAAAAGTTCTAACAGTATATTCATGATCCTCTACTAGGAAGACTGTTTTTTTTCTGATAATGGACAAGACTGGTTGCCTTTTAGATGTTGCAAGATAAATAACTTATATTAAGATAAAGTGAATACTACTAGTTGGTAGAAAAAGCTAGTCCCTCGATATGTTTGTAGCAATAAGATGTCAATTTTACATAATATAAGTCAGAACTTGCTTATTGGACTGTTGGACGGATTATGGCCAAATTCCCCAATAGGCTTAGTTGGTATTCCTCCAGCAGGTTTATTTGGTATTCATAGTCTAAGATTGTTAGCTATTGGGCATTCTGGTATTTATAAGAGCTGGTGAATTTGTTACTGCCAAAATCCAAATAGGATAAACTAAAATAGCTCATTAAAGCTCAATTCTTTGAGTGCTTTTAATAAAAATAACAGAAGGGCATGTGTATCAGTACTGTCAAAAGCTGCAGGGATCAAAGGAATTTGATTTTACAGCTTTCTTGTACACTATTTATCATTACAACACTTAAGAAAAAATATTTTAAGATGCTCTTTTAATTTTCAACAAATTAGACATTTATAACTCCACCAAGAATGTTTACAACACAGATATTCTCAAACATGTTAAACTTAGCAAGGATTGCTTTTGAGAAAAGAAAACACACAAAATCTCAGTATATTTTGTATTCCATGGCATTGCTTCTGTGGAAAATAGTTGGTATTCTGTAAAAAGAGAAAAGTTGAATTTAGATTCAAGTATACATGAGCATGGAAATGTGTATATAATTTTTGTATATAGCTGTTCCTATAAATATTTTGTCATGTATGATAAAATTGACACTTGAGGTATTTCTCAGCGTTTCTTCAGTTTGTATATTTTTAGCTATCATTTAATCTTTCTAATCTTTCTTTGCTGGAACATTTACTCTGTATGTTTATATTTCCCCACAAAAATCCAGTATATAAAAGTGTTTTCCTAAAGCTCACTGATATCAACAAAGTTTATGAATAAAATATTTCAAAAGTTGAAGTTATTCCTCATGTATTTATTTCCTTATGTATTTGTAGTTAAATCTTCCCATTATATGTGTAACTGCTTTATAAATAAATATAAGTCATCAGGACAAAGTTTAAAACCTCAGATAATCACATAAGAAAAACAAAGAAGAAGTAATTATTGAACTGTTTTTTTTACTGACAAAATAAAATGAAATCCTGGGTGAATTAGTCTGTGTAAAGCCAAATTTTGGAAGCAATCCAGATAAAGCTCTTTTTCTCATCTTCAGAGAGAGTATTTTACTAAATTGATCAAATAATCGAATAAATTCTATTTCACATTTGTGTGCACGCTAATACTTAGTTTAATGTTACAATCATGGACTTTTTTTCCATTAAGTATTAGACTATTTTTTGTTTACATTATGTAAATGTCTCTACATTTGTAAAGTATTATGAAAGACTAGTAGCCCTGAGCACAAATCTGTGCGCCAGTAGCTCTCTGTGGGACCTGGCCACTCTGTGCCCACTGCCCAGAGGCTCTCTGAGGCCCAGAGGCCCATCTGTGCCTGGGCATGGCCAGAATCCCTCCACAGCTCCATGCCCGCTGCCTAGAGGCCCTCCGTGGCCAGGGTGGAATGCCTGCCTCGTCGCCAGAGCGACAAAACAAGCATTTCGCCAGGCTGGTCACTACATCTCTCCTTCCCCCCATCCCCTGCCCTGGAACTGGGGGACTCCACCAGAGCTTAGAGGACTGAGCGCCATCATCTTGTGACTATGGGCACCGCCATCTTTGTGACAGAGTGATGGTTAATTTGCATATTACCCTTTTATTAGATAGGATAGTTTCTTTTCCCATAACTCTTTGTTCTTATTTCCTTGAAAAAAGAAAAAATAAGAATATGTTGGCTCATATTTCTGATATGAGCAAGCCTTTGTTGAAATAGGAGTTAATGACAGAAATAGTTTGAAAATCTACATTCCTAACTAAGCCCCGTGATCATGTTAAATTTTTTCTTTACTTTTCTCATATTTATGTTTTATTTTTTTCCTTGTCCAACTGAATTGACTAATGCATTAAGAACCACATTAAATAAAAGGTAACAGAGCATCATTGCTTGATTCCTGACATTAATGAAAATGTTCTAAAGTGTTTTACTATCAAGCCTTGTACTTTGTTTGAAACCATTATATATATAATATGAAAACTCATCTCTTTATTCTGTTAATACTTCAGAAATTGATGTGGAATTTTACTAAAAGCATCTATTGAGATAATCATATAATTTTCTTCTAATGGTGAAAATATTTTAATAGACTCCCTAGTGTCGAACCATACTGAGTTGCTGGAACAAACTTCTGGTCATGAAATTCTTTAAATATACTGCTGAATACGGTTCACTAATATTTCTTTTCAATTTTGCATTAATATTGATAAACAACTTTGACCTTCAGTTTCATTTTTTAAAAATAAATCTTTATTGTTGAAAGTATTACAAATGGCCTCTTATTTCTCCATTAACCTGCTCCCATCCCAGGCCTTCACCACCCACATTTTCCTTTTCTGTAATACTTTTGTAAGATTTGGGTATAAGCTTCATTTAAAAAAATATGATTTTTATAAAAATATTTTGAGATTTTTCTTTCTTCTCTGAGGTGGAAAAATTCAAAATCTGTTAGCCTAGGACTTTTTGAGGGGATGGTTTCTGGATAATATTTTCAATTTTTTTCCATGGCTATTAGTCTAGATTTTTTTCTTCCTTCTAAAGTGAACTTTGGTAACACCTACTTTACTGACAACCCTTTATTTTATGTAGGTTTCTGAATAGATAGGCACAGAGATTTGTTAAGTACTCTTTAATAATATCCATTTCTTCCATATCTATTTTAATGTTTCTCTTTTCACTTGTAGTTTTGCGTATTTATGGTTTCTCTCTTTTTCTTAATTAGGCTAGGCTAATTAAATAGCTTATTTAACTTTTGAAGATAAACAGATAATTTGCTATATTTACCTATCCCTCCGCTTTACACTTTATTTATTTGATCTTTCATTTATAGTTTTATTTAGTTTGCTTTCCTTTCCCAACTTGTTCTTTTTTAACTTATTAAGTCCTTAATTTACTCATTCTTTCTTGCTTAAGAGTGTTTGAAGTCTTCAATTTTCCACCAAATATGGCTTTGGCAGAGTCCCATAAATTTTAATTTTCATTGTTTTCATTATCTTTATTATCTAAATATTGTATAATATGTTCAGCATATAATCTGCATTTAGGATTACATAAAATAGTAGTAGAACATACTTTTATTTCTGTGGTATAAATTTATCAATCCGCATTTGGGTTGATTTCAAAAGTCATAGCATAATAAGATATTAGGATTACTGTATTGTATTTATTAAACAAGTAGAGCAATTCAATAACCTCTAAGTGTCTACTGTATCTCCAGATTGGAGTGGGAACTGGGAGTCCCAAAGTAAAAGTCATGTTTTCATGTCTTCCACATTTTGTTATTCTGTAGAAAAACTATACTTGAAAAATAAAAATGATTTAAAAAAGAATCTTTGAATATGAATCATTTGGACGACGGAAGTACATTTATTCTGTAAGTTCTGACCCATTACATTGAATACTAATTGCCAAAATAAGAACACAATCCCTTACAAGTACTTGCACACCAAATGGTGGTGAGGTTACTGTCTACAAAAATCAATGATAACGAATATTGTGGCATAGCCTGAGGAATACACGACATGGATAAAGCAAATTTGGCCCTGAAATACTGACATTTTCCATCATATAGCCCTCACAGATCCTATAAGTATAGGCCGTATGGAGGAATATTAATGTATACATGCAATCAAATAATGGAAATATATTGCAAATAGTTTAATTTGTGGATATCTGAAAACAACAGAAATTTTCCAACTGGGTTGAATTGTGAAACACATACCATTTTAAATGTAACCTTCTGATCTTCTTCCATTGCGTGGCTAGAAAATAACAAATTAGCAATAAATCAGTGCAATTAAGGAAGGAAGATAATTTTATAGAAAGCAGCCTAATAATGATCTTGATGTGTGATATAATCTTTTTCCTCTATGTAGTCTTATTTCTTCCTTCAATTAATTCTCCAATTGGTTGTTAGAATTAGTTCTCAAAATGCAAATTTTACCATATGGTTCCCCTTATTTCTACATTAAAGTTGAAATTCCTTAGCTAAATATTTTATTGGCTATTTTCCATTAATTCTTCTCACTCAGCCCTTACAGCCTCTCTGGATCTCCTTCACTCCACAGCCTGGGTTGCATGTCTTTCTTTTAGAACCATAGCCTCTGGATTGAAGGTGCATTTAATATAGTATTTTGTATGTACTTATTTATCAATTTCCTGTATTAGGCTGTAAACTCATGGAGATAAGAATATAATCCTATCTGGCTTTATATTCTCAGCCTTTGATAGATTGTCCAGCACCCAATAGATATTCAATAATTAGCTGCTGAATAAATGAATGAAAAATTTCTGGTAATGTATTAGGGATACAAACATTTTAGAAAGTATAGCTGCTTAGGAAGAAACTCATACTTAATAGACAATTTGGACATACAAAATACTAACTTCAATGACAAAGATTTGTCTATTTATACCCTCTATTGTACTTGATTCTTTTACTTTTAAAAGTGGATGGACATAGTCATAACTCTCCCAATCTACTGAATAAAACATTTTGTAAATGAGTCCTTAGAACTTAAGGAGTAATACATCTTTAAGACACTCATTTCCTGCTTGTGAAATTTTATGGAACTAAACTGAGAAATAGGTGAATGTCTTCTGGGGTATTTACAAGCATGAGTAGTGGATTTGAGGCCACATATGCCAGTATTAAAGCAATAAATAAGTTGGTAAAAGAAGTAAATCTCAGACTACGACACTTGATGTCAAATATCTATAAATAAAGTTCAAAACTCAATTAAAACTTATAAGTTAATGCAAATAAATGCACAGTGAGAGTATTTTTCAATTTTGATACTGATTTTTTTTAAAAAGTACAGTACATGCATACCCTGAATAAAAAATATCTGCGGCTATGACTTGCAATAGGACCTTGAAATTCTCCCTGAAAGACAAAATGAGGACATTCCAAATCAAATAACAGGAGAAATAAGTGCAAATTCCTCTTGAAAGAACAGTGAAGCTCAAAATTATTTACTACTATCCTCATAAACAAAGAGGGAATCAAGGACTTGAGTATATAATTCATAACAATAGTTAATCTTTGCATTTATACTTGAAGAATTTTCAACTAGCAGTACAACAGAACCTTGTATTTTAAAATAATTTCCTTTACTAATATAAAGATTCTATTTTCAAGAATTTTGTCACAATGTATATTCGCCAATAAGTAGAAAGAGAAATGACAGACACTTTATAATGAACTGTATTTAAAATCTCCTTTCAGCATTTTGTTAGAACAAAGTAATTTCTTTAAGATACATATTATATGTGCTAACACAAAAAGGAAAAATATAAAATAGAATTGTCAGAGCTAAAATATACAATATTGCTATAGGAATTTATATAGCAATTTGAGAGTAAACCATATTTATTCATTGAGCCTTAAAAAGGGATTTTCCCAAAATAATTCTATCTATAAAAATGGTTATAAAAAATCAAATAGGAATAAATCAATTATTCATAATGGGTATATTGAGAAGTGTTTCTTTTCTTAAAACATTTCCTTTGAAATTTAATGGAAAAAATATTTAACATTTTATGATTTCCATAAAATTGGTTTTCATAGCTTCCTATTTTCAACTACTTACTATAAAAGTATCAGTATGGCATCCAGTAGGAAATGTGTCTACAAGACCTTTTTAAAGTTATTCTATAATATAAGTAAATACATATTTTTAAATTCTACGAAATAGCTCTGACAACTATTAAAATTCTGAAATCCCTGCATTATGACAAACATATCTTACATTTTCAATATTTTATATCTAATTCTCATCTTGACTAAGTCCACTCAAAATACCTAAAAGATTGGATTTTTTTTCTTTTAAAAAAGTACACATTGAAACTATACATTTATATTGTTATATTTTTAAAAAGGGCAAAATGTAACTTAAAATGTGCTAAAATTTAAAACTCTCAAATCCAAACATGCAGGTTGTTTTAGTCTTATCATTGAAGAAAAAGCAGTATATAAAATAATTTGGGAGGCAGGGGATGGAAGTGAGGATGTCTGGCAATCAAATTTTAAGAAAAGTGTTGGAATGTACTAGGATCTGAAAACTCAAAAATACTTCACTTAAAAAATATGTTTTAAAATTAGGCAACTTAGGCCTAGCAAAGCTAACACTACTGTAATTTTTTTTCTATTTATGCCTTACATTCTTTTCTTTCATAGGTTCCTAGGAAACTCATCTTTCAATATTGGAGTTATATTTGTCCAACAGAATATACTACCAAGTACAGTTTATATTTTTAGATTGTTGTCTGCAAATATAGTCTGAAATAATATTGTAAACTCATAACTTGATATATTTTAAGAAATTGAATCTTTAAATTGAAATCTTAGGCTATTCACAAGTGAAGCAAACTTCAAAGAGTAGAAGTTAATTTTTAAAAGCGCCTCTTCTAGAAAGCTTGATAATAATTGATTTGATCCTTTTCATACTGGAAATTCTGTAATAAAGGCTATTACAGTTCCTCTTACATTTTTATTTAAGCAGGTGGCAGCTACTATCTTCCTTGATGAAATCTTAGTTTAAGAAAGTGAAGAATTTGGGAGAAAACAGTGACCATAAAATTAAATTTTGAGAAATATATTTGCCTAAACTGTATGGATGTTTAAAAAATATTTGAAGACTTTCAGTGGTACATTTAAAAAGAATAAAATTAAGATGGCATTTAAATTAAGGGAACATATAAAACAAAATAATAGAAATAACCAAGACTAGACTATAAGGAATGGCATAGTGAAAAAAATATTTGCAAAGACTAGAAGTCAGAAGAATCTATTGGAATTTCTAGATTGACCACTTACTAGAATGATCTTGGGAAAAACCTTTCTTTAACTGTTCCAAATTGTTTTCCCTTTAGTAAGCAGGATAACAGTACTTACATAAGTGCCAACAGAGTTTCCAAAAGAATAAAATAAGAGAAGACTAAAAACTATAATTCATTTTAACAATGTAAGGCATTACTTAAAAATAATACCTAGAAACTTTCATCATTGAAAGAGTTAAAATTATTTTTAAATAACAATATAAACTCCTCAATTTCTAGTTTAAAAAGCTGTTAACAATGCTATATTTCTCTTAAACATAGATATTGATATAGGGCCATATTTTTGTTAATTGTGGGAAAAACAAAACACACCTACAATTAGTTCCTGATAGATCTATATCTTGACCCTAAAGTGTTACTTTTGCTAACACTTTAGAAAGATTGCCATCCCAGTTAGTAGCCAACTTGTATACAGAGGGACAGTACACTGTATTTTTTATTTTTTCTGTTCCCGTCTTCTGACTAGCCATAGAGGATGTGTCCTTTCTTTTTTTTTAAATTGATGAGAGAGAGAGAGAGAGAGAGAGAGAGAGAGAGAGAGAGAGAGAGAGAGAGAGAGATCAATTTGTTGTTCCACTTATTTAGGCATTCATTGGTTGATTCTTGTTATGTGCCCTAACCTGGGACCAAACCCACAACCTTGGTGTACCAGGACCACACTTAACCACTGAGCTACCTGGCCAGGGCCTGGCCGTGTCCTTTCTTCCAACCCAGAATAGGTTTCCTCGCTGGGAGGATCATGATCCTTGGAAGGGAATCTAATCCCAGCTTTCCTCACTGCGCCTAGCTTGAGATAGAAGGGCCATACTAGGAGGAAGGAAAATACCTGTGTTCTTTCTGAGTGTGAGAACATTTAGGCAAACAGCTGCTCCTCGGTTACCTGGGCGTTTCTGTGTGGTTTGTCCTGAATCTTTATAAATTACCCCAGCTGGGAATTGTCAGAAGGGCTGCCCCGCACAGAGTGGCAAAGCGCGCATGCAGCTGTGTTACATACGTCCGATTTGAACCTCTTCATTCTTCTCTCATGCAGTTGAGGAACGAGCTGCAGCAACGGATGCACAACAGACGACTGAGAGACACGAACACACACACAATGAGCACAGGGCTTCTCAGCACTGGGCATTCAGACGCGTTTCCTAATTGTCTCTCTTTACCCACTCTACTTGCTTCAAACAAAATAGAACCAGAAAGATGTTCTCTAAGGCGGCCTTCTGCGAGCATTTCAAAGAACTGGGGAGGATGCGCCAAGGGAGGCAATAAAATTTGGTGGCTCTGTGCTAGGATCTTTGCTATGACGCTGAGGAAGCATTTTCCCGAGGCTTCAGCATCTGCCAAGAAGTAGAACGCCTGCCTACATTCTACTTTTTTTTTTTTTTTTTTTTTTTTTTTTTTACAAAGAGCAGCATCTGCTTCCAGACTTACTCAATGATCTGGGGCAGATGAAAACAACTCGGGGGAAAATCAGTTTTTTTTTTTTATTATGGAAGCGTTTCTCTAGAACAGTGTTTCCCAAACTTCTCTCATGACGAGAATCACCTGGTGGAGTTGTTAAACTACAGGTTCCTGAATCCCAACTAAGAAGAGCTAAACTAGAATTTGGGGATCATATAGGTAAAATTGTATACTTACAATTTTAATATCCTTACAAAATTGTATACTTACAAAATTACTAAGCTTAGAGCACTAGTTAAGTATACAATTTTACCTATATGATCCCCAAATTCTAGTTTAGCTCTTCTTAGTTGGGATTCAGGAACCTGTAGTTTAACAACTCCACCAGGTGATTCTCGTCATGAGAGAAGTTAGGGAAACACTACTGTAGAAGATTACACTGTTCACACATCTAGTAATCTCCTTTATAAATGATATAGTTTATTGAAAATTCAACATATGGAACAGGATGACGGGGGACACACAAAAAATGACACAATGTGTTGTTGATAGCAAAAAATATGACTAAGATACATTTTTCTCGAAACGGAAAGATGCCAAGCAGAAGGAAATGAAAGCACATCGGAGACATGTGGTTACCTGCTTCAGTCTCATTTTAAAAGCATGGCTTCGATGGAACCGTCTCACAAGTATTAAAATCACTTATCAAACGGACTGCTTTAAGCCCTCTAGGAGGCTATCTGTCAACCAATTCAACTTGTCTTTGGTTTTTAAAGCCGGTATAACCTAACTTTCAACTCCTAATTTGTACGAATACTCAATGTAATAAACATTTAAAACTGAGTTTATGATTACAGTTTCCTTTCTACAGGTATATACATGTTTAAAATACACTATGCTCCTCATTCCCTAAATTGGTCCATAGCTGTGAGTCACAAGCTTAGAAAGAATATTATAGTCAAATTATTATTAAGTATTCTAACTGGAATGCCAAAGGAGGTTCATTAGCATTTTTTAAATGCATGCATAAGAAGAAAAATTACCACTAAAGCACAAAACTTCAAAGTGAACTGAATCCAAGTTATTGGTATCTGGCAAATCTTAGTAAATTCTCACTCTAATTGTCTAATGACAAATAAGGAGATCTTAGATATATCTAATTATATTTAATTATATTTTTGACAATTATATTTTAATAGTTTTGAATAAAACTATTTCTCCCTTGTACTAATCACCATCTAAAATAATATTTTTTTACTTGGTTTTATCTTTAGAATCTAAGTTCCATGACAGCAGGAATTTCTTTTTTAATTTTTAATTTTACTTACTGCTTTATTTCTAGCACCTAGAATTGTGATTAGCACATAGCAGATACTCAGTAAATAATTGTTGACTGGCTGAATGATTTTAATATATATGCAATTATTGAGATATAAAACAAATTAAATGTATAAATATTGAATGCTATTTGTTCAGGTATGTATAAACTTTTAAAGTAAAAAAAATAAATTTTGCTCTAGTTCTATTAAATAAACTGCAAAAATAGGTTTGGGAAAAAATACCAATCATTACTAATAAGAAGTAATTCTACTTACCACAACATTTGAGTTGCCCAACTTCCCTGTCTTCGAATAATGAAATAAGAACTGTTAAAAATAAATAGTGAGCTTTACTATAGATGATTAGTACTTTCCTTTATTATTTTTAATCTATATACTTATGGAAATCACCTTACCCTTTTGTTGTTAACTTTTTCATCTGTTTTCTGTTTAAAAAAGATATACAAATATCATTATATTATGCATAACATAAAATTATAATGTATATAATATGTAGTATAAAATTGTCACATAAGTTTTAAAACATGATAAGTTACATAAAAAATATAAGACTTAAATTGATTAAACATATATTGCTCTAAAAACATGAAAAATTAAAGACTGTTCATAAATAAAGTGTGTACAAGATCTTTACTATAGCATTATTCATAAGAGTAAAAAATTGGAAACATCCTGAAAGTTCAATATTGGGAAGGATATGATTATGTTTAAAATATTCAGTGAAATAGATAAGAAAGAGTCCCATGAAAATACTTGTAGCTGTTCTCACCAAGTAATAAGATTGTTATTTTTGCTTTCTTCCAAAAACTTTTCTATATTCCTCTTTTCCTCCACAAATCTGTTTTTAAGAATAAATCATCTCATTCCTATTTGTTGGTTTTTTGGTTTTTTTTTCTTCCTCATTTGCTTTTAATATTAAAGGAAACTAATGGATAAACACCATTGACATTTCTTTTATTTTAATTAGAAGAAAAAAAATTAGAAAATTACTATTAAAAACACTAGAAACAATACAGTCATAAACACTTAGTTTCAGTAAATATTTATGCTTTCAAAATATCAAGGTTTCTTTGATTTATTGTATGTGAAAGGCATGGCAGTCAGAATGTACCAATAATCATGGTTAAATTAGAATTATTAATGAAAAATAAAATTCTAAACCTTAGGCTGTTATCCTTAATAAGATAGTTTTAAAATAAGCTCATAGGTAAGATATAAAATATAAAATAAGGTTTGGTACATTATGCTATTTTTCAATTTCTCACCTATTCTTATTTCAGGACTAAAAGTTCTAGAAGAATCAAGTATTTTTAATAAGAAACCAAGACAGTAAGAATATAATTTTCAAACTGACATTGACAATATAATTTGATTTTTTTTTTTTTCATTCTTAACATCCTTCTCCCTAACAAAGATTCATGTGTTCTCCAATTGTAATGTGAGTCAGGGAGAGAAAAGAAGCCAAATGACCCCACATTTCTCTCATCTGAGGTAGAACACATACTTGAGAGGGACATATAACTTTTCAATCCATGACTGTAAACTTCATTGACCTTAAATCCTCAGACATCAGAGAAATTGAAGTATTTATTTCTCATCCAAAACCAACTTATTGTCTTCAAGCTCCTCTTGGCTTATTTCTTAAATAGGGTATTTTCTTCTAGTAGGAATTCCAAAATATCACTGAGCAATTTTTCCCTACAAACAAAATACTATTTCATCCTTACCTGGGCCTTTGGTAGAGTCCCCATAATTGTGAAGCAAAGCTCCGCCAATGCATTGGATGCCTAATGGAAATGAGAAGGTACACAGGCTATGCTTCTGTTTTAACAACATTTGCATAGAAGATATATAACTCAGAAAATTGGGAAAACAAGGATATTCCAATTACCTAGACTAGAATCCTTCTAGTGGCCCATTGAAACTGATGGAATTCCTTGATTTTTCTTGTGACAAAAACCTGGCTCTTAAACATAAAACCTTCCTTCCAATTAGCAAAAAAGGAATTATGTACAATATATATGCAATGACTAAGGCTTCCCCTGTGGTCCAGATACACAGTCCTCAGTACTTGCTAAGATTTCATGGAGTTCTATGACTGACAGTAAGGAAGGCATTGCCAAAAGAGGGATTATGGTTCCCTGTTTGTAGCAAAGTCTGAATCTACAGGCCAAAGCTGGGAGCCTGGCTGAATATTACTCATTCTTGGCTAATTTGGAAGTCCTTCAATTGCTCGAAAACAATGGGAGTTGGAGAGGAAGGAGCGGTCAATGGGGCACCCAACCTGACTTACCACCCTTCCAGGCTGCTGACTGCACACCCCGGGATCAGGTTTTTCAAAGCATCTGTGTACAGAAGTAGGGCAGGGCTCCCTGTGGTTAGCAGCCAGCTGGGTGTGGTGAGGAGCAGCACAAATGGACAAGCAGAGGCGAAACCTACTTTGCACAGAATTTAGCACAGTAGCGCCATAAACAATTGATGACTTAATAAAAATGCACACTGGAAATAACGAGGATCTGGAACCATAGGGTGATATAATTAGTGGTTAAAAACACGGGCTTATGAAGGTGAGCGGCCTGCAGCCCTAGAGCAATACAAATTCCGTTTCTACTCTTTGTTAGCTGTGCTGCTTTGGGCTGGCTACCTACCCTCTCTCAGCTTCGGTTTCTCCAGCCATAAATCAGGGATGACAACATCACTGCAGGGAGTTCTTGGAAGGATTAAATGTCAGTAAAGCTCTTAGTACAGTGCCAGGTATCTAGCAGTGAGCTAACAATGGCAGCATTAGAAAAATGTGTGAAGCTTGATTTTCAGCGGTATGTACTCATAATTTAGAAGACCTGTCAAAAGGGTTATTTGGGGCCACCAATATCCTCAACGTCTGAACAACAGTGAATGGGTGATGTGGTTGGGTTTAGTGAGAGATGTAGTTGTAATCATGAAACAGCTTCTTTGAGCATCCTTCCTAGCATCAGAGGTCTGCTGTGTTCTCTTCCATGTGTTTGTCTGCCACGCGAATTATTGGGTTATTTATTAATAATACTAGTGACCTGGTGCGCGGAATTTGTAATTTATTGAAGCACTATATAAACATGAGTCATTTAATTTTATATACATTTTACTAATTTCCTAGTAAATTAGTAAAGACTAGTGATACTGATTTAAAAAGTCAAGACACATGGATTTCAAACTCAATCGAGGGACAGAATATCAGCCCCCAAATACAGCAACAGGCTCATTATTTTAATTAGCACTTTAATTTCCAAAATGTGTGAATATTATCTGCATATATATTCTTCTTAGAGATAAAAGTCCTAGCACTTTACAACATAAGCTCTTAGCTCTCAATATTACCTGCAGATGATGTAATAATTTCTAATATATTGACATCTATACTAATAAAAGAGTAATATGCTGATTAGACTGGAAGACCTTCCGGACAAAGCCGAGGGCTTGGCTGGCCTGCAAACCGCCCCCAAGTGGCCATCAGCCCCTTGCCCAGACCAGCCATGCTCCCCAGTGGGGATCCCAACTCTGAAGGAGGTGTGGCCAGCCTGAAAATGTCCCTCAGCCACTCACCCAGGCTGGCCCCACCCCCCAAAAGGACCCCCACACTGAGCTGGACCCCCTTTAAGGCAGAGTTGGCTCCCACCTGTGCACCAGGCCTCTATCTATACTAATAAAAGGGTAATATGTTAATTAGACTAGGAGACCTTTTGGATGTCCTTCTGGACAAAGCCATGGTGGTGGGGCTGAGGCAGAGGCGGTTAAGGGAGATTAGGCCAGGAGGGGAGGGCAGTTGGCGGCAATCAGGCTGCCAAGGGGGGGCAGTTGGGGGTGAGCAGATTGGCAGGGGGGGCAGTTGGGGACAAGCAGGCCGGCAGGCAGAGTGGTTAGGGGCAATCAGGCAGGTAGGTAGGTGAGCAGATAGGAGCCAGTGGTCCCAGATTTCAAGAGGGATGTTCGAGAGGTCCCAGATTGGAGAGGGTACAGGCCAGGCTGAGGGACATCCCCCCCATGCATGAATTTCATGCACCAGTCCACTAGTGTTTTAATAAGTCCACAAAGTCAGGACAGATCCAAAGGGGAAAATGGAGCATTCAGCACTACACAAATGCCTCCATCATTACAAAACACCTCCCACTGGAGTTACCTGAGGCTGAGAACCAATGGACAGGAAAGAGGAACAAGCAGCATCTATCTGTAGAAAACAAAAATGCCAGTTACATCTTGGAGGTTGACAGAAAACAGCAGAAAATGGAAAGCAGATTTTACAAAATCAGGTTACCTATGCAATGGTAACCAAAGTTCCAATAATACTTGGATGGCCATAAGTCTGATTCTATAGTCTGGACTCTTGGATTTTGGGGAGAGGAGCCCCTTAAACTTTCTAAGGAAGTCCTGCAATTGGGATTTTCCAAAAATTCACCTCCAGTCACAGGGGTCCTATGTCCATCGGGATCATTAGAGAGTATAAAGATGCTTCAAACACTGAGGGAAAAATAGTTCCTGTGTTCTTCAGCCCGAGAAGTGTGAGTGGTGATCAAAAATGACCTTGGAATTAAGGAGCACCCTGTTATTATGTGGTTCTTTATTACACATAAATCTAGCCATACCATCTGAATTAAATGATAGTAGCATAAGTGCTAAATTACAAATATCATGGTTAGTAGTAGAAAGTGAAACACAACAAGGGCAGCCTACTAGTTTGCTACCACGGGGCCAGCATCAAAAAGGGTTCTATTGTACCAGAGTTTATTGAATCACATTTGGCATCTAGCAGTTCTCCTAAAGAGAAAACATGAAAGATTTTAAACTGTAATATAAAAGACTTACATTAATCATTCAAAAAACACTGTTGAGAAGTTAAGCACTAAGCTAGATGTCTGAAGTTATTTGTGGCAATTATTATTATTATTATTATTATTATTATTATTATTATTGGTGGCCTTTTAAAATGGAACTGGAAACAATGGAACTGATTCTTATCTTTCTAGAATCATCTAGGTTTATGACATACCATTGCAGGGGCCCCTTTCTAGTCTCAGAATCCTTTTTTGAACAGTTTAATTTAATTTCCATCCTCCCACCAAACTGAAGAGGGGTTATCATACTCTTCAGTCATAATTTCTCAAGTTCCTTGTTGCTTTCAAGTTGAACATGTCCTAAAATATATTATTCTCCAGTTAGAGAATAACAAAGGTGTCCAATATTATTATTTTTTTTAAAAAAGCAAGCTTAGATCTCTCTCCTCTTTATCCTCACAGAACTTGTCATCTTCTCTATATATCGCAGATGTGGGGGAATTGTTTTATCCCACGTATCCCTTGCTCCCTCTTCCATGCCATATAAACCCAGAATCATGAATATAAACACATACACACATATACACACACATGGTACACACATACACACACATAGTTATAAACTTCTTGAGGGCAGTGACTATGCCATATCTAACTCGGCTAGAGTAGGTTCTCAATAAATATTACTTAACTAAATGTAATTGAACTTATGGAAAAAAATATGAGACAAGTCAATTGAGAGAGGAAAGCCAAAAAAGGTACCCATGTAAGCTCTGAATTGTGACCCAGGTGTAATCTATCACCTCCCAATGATATTTACTGTGATTTAGCAGGTTGGAGAAAGCGATTTCTTCTAACATTTTTGTGCTGCTTAGGTATCTGAGCTCAAGGGGAAGGCTGTCCACCCACAGACCAGGCTGCCCATCTGCGCATGATGGCCATTGTGTCCAAGAATACAGAGCTCCAGAGCCCCAAGGTAAGTAATGAGTGCATCCACATCGTTTGAATAAAAACATCAGAATAAGAAAAAAACACCAATTAATTAAATTAAGAGATAATTGCAAAGCTTTTCAGCCTTTGTTCTCCTTTCTGTTAGAGGGCACAGCAACATCGCTGGCCCATTTGTTCATTGTACTCGGATTCTGGACCTAATGGTTTTAAGTGCCGCTAATGGCTTTCGAGAACTCTGCAGAATTCATTGATGAATTTGGTGGAAAATGTATTACCATATGACTGGCATTTCGTTTTTTTACAGATAGACGCTGCTTGTTCATCTTTCCTGTCCATTAATTCTCTGTACTTGGGTTGAAAATATGTGTTTCTAGTATTCTTAGCATCTTAACTTACTTAAATGATAGGGCTTTTACATCTCAGGGTTTTACCCAGCATTATCATCTAAATTATTTTTTTCAAAAATTTCCCACAGAATATTCTAGTAGATGGTTTCAAGCTAAAATAAATGTTTCTTTATTAGACTTTAGCTGTTGTCTAAGTGATCTTTCATCTTGTTTATATTTTTCTGGCATGTGTGTGTTTTGATATACCGAAGCAAAGATCCTTATAAAAAAAACTATGAATTCTATGCAATTAAAGACTGTTTAGTACTTGGCACTCACCATCTATCTTATCTTTTCCCTTATATATATACTATTGGGGGTGGCTAGGTACAAAGGGTATTCTTCTAGGTTCATAGCTCACTGTCATCATTGGGCTCTATTTATTATTTTTATCTTCCCATTTCCTACTCCTATTCCATCCTCTTATGGGCAACTCTTCTGTCATGTATGTGGGTCCTTCATTTGTTTAGGATCCTATAAAATGTTACTGTTGTTTGGTGAGCACATATGGCATTTTCTTACTTTTTTTTCTTTTTCAGTTAGCACTATACTTGGAGACCTGGCCATGATATTGGGTACTCTAGTATGCTGCTCCCAGCTGTTGGAGAATACCTACAATGTGTACCCACCACATGTTGCCTATACACTCCCTGATGATGGACAGCTGGGTTCCCTTGAATCCCTCCTTTACCTCCTGTATCTGTCCTCCACTCACGGATCTGTAGGAGAATATCTGGGCTATATCCTCAGGAGAGGAAATGGGGAAACCTAGGTGGCTTTAAAGATGGCTCTGGAGTTGACACTCTTACCATCAATGTGTGAGGGTACACACACCCCACATCTTTGCTAACGTTCGCCATTATGACACTTGGCCGCTTTCTTAATTTCCATTTCATTATTACTAATGAATTTAAGCATCGCTGTAGGCAGGTTTGTTGGCCTTTTAGGTTTTGTCTTAAATTGTCCTATCCTTTGACTATTTTTACCAGGATTCCCATCCTTATCCAATTGATTTGATAGTATTTCTTAGGTTATTCTAGAAATCAATCCCTTATCAGTTTAGACATTGTTCATATCTCATTTCAAAGGTTCTTTTCTTTTTCTGTGGCATCTTTTGTTGAAAGAAATCTTTACTTTTAATGTAAATCAATTCAGCATTTTTTGACCCTATGATTTATATTTGAAGTTTTATTTAGGGAGTCTTTCCCTGCTACTAGCTCCCAAAGATGTTTTCCTAGTAGAAAATGTTTTCTATTAATTTCATAATTTTACCCTTTATATTTAGACTGGAGGCCTGGTGCATGAAATTTGTGCACAGGTAGGATCCCTAGGATTGGCTGGCGATCAGGGCCAATCTGTGGGGCGACCAGCAGGGAGATTGGGGGGCCACCACTGGCACCTGCCTTGGCCTGCTTGACACCACCAGCTTGCCGGCCCCACCCCCCACCACTGCTGTCGGTTGCCTCCCTCTGCAGGCAACTGGGCAGGGTGATTGGGGGTGCCCTTCCTCTGGCACCCACCTTGGTTGGCCTGGGGCCTGCAGGCTAGGGGAAGCTCCTGTGTTGAGCATCTGCCCCCTAGTGTCAGTGCACATCATAGCAACCAGTAGTTCTGCCATTTGGTTGATTTGCATATTAGGCTTTTATTATATAGGATCTTTAATCCACCTGGAGCCCCCCTTTGTTAGGGTGTTAAGTTTTACTTTCCTCCATATAGAAAGACAGTTTCTCAACCCTCACTGGCCAAACACTCTGTCTTTTCCCCACTGAATTTTAGCATCACTTGTATTGTAAGTTAAGTTTGCATGTACCTGAATTTCTGTCTTACATTGGGTTCTCAGAAACAGGCCTTGAGATAAGGATGTTGATATAAGTAGATTTGGGGGAGGTGACCCAAGGAGCACTAATAGAAGTCCAGAGAAATAAAACAGGGACGAGAAGAAATCCAATGAAGGGAATGTTATCAAGCAGGTTATCACTATTCGTAACTGGGGTCAATATGTCTGGGGAGCTCTGGGAGCCAATGTAGAACTCAGAGTTAAGGTGTTTAGCCACCAACTCCCTTGGGTCACCAAGTGGAGGCTGCTCTCCGTGGGGGCATTTACTCTCAGGCATTTCTGGTGGTATGTGCCCTGAGCACAGGCCAAGCAGGCAGGTCCATAGGGGCATGCGATTAGAATCAGCAAATTCGGAGTGCCCGGAATGGTGAGTGAAAGGAGCAGAGCAGGGCACTGACAGTGTCTGTTAAACTCTCCAGGCTTTAGTCCCTGTTCCGTTAGCTAGTCCGTCTGTTCCTGTGTCCTTACCTTTTCTATTACTACAGTTTTCTAGTACTTCTTGATGACTGCTAGGGCTAGTTCTCATTCTTAGCTCTTTATATTTAAAATCTCCTTAGCCATTTCTAGACCTACACTTTTCCATATCAATTTTAGGTTACATTTGTGAAGTTTCTTAATGAACACTAAATGAATTTTCTTAATGTAATTCACTATGATTATAAAGGAGAAAAGGCATACTGCTTATTTCGAAAAATGCAGATAACGTTTTTAATTAAGTTCAAATTTGATTTAATATTAACAAAACTCTTAGTAAGATTATTATACTAAGCAAAATAAGCCAGTCAGGGAAAGACAAGTATCACATAATCTCACTCATATGTGGAATCTAATGAACAAAATAAACTGATGAACAAAATAGATCCAGAGACACAGAAGCATGGAACAGACTGAAATCTCAGAGGGAAGACAGAGGTGGGTAGATGGATGAGTGGGAAGAGATCAACCAAAGAACTTGTATGCATATATGCATAACCATGGACACAGACAATAGTGTGGTGAAGGCCTGGGGCAGCAGTGGGCTAAAAAGGGAACATATGTAATATTTTCAGCAATTTATTTTTGAAGATAATTTCCATGTCCAGCCAGTGTGGCTCAGTTGTCAAGCAAGAACCCATGAACTAAGAGATCACCAGTTTGATTCCAGGTCAGAGAAGCATTGATTAGATGCTCAAATCTCAGAGGGACGATAGAGGAGGGTGGGGGGAAGGGGAAGAGATCAATCAAAGGACTTGTATGCATGTATATAAACATAATCAATGAACACAGACACCAGGGGGTTAAGGGCATGAACAGGAGTGGGGTTGGGGGGGGGCAATGAGGGATAAGGACAGATATGTAATAATCTAATCAATCAATCAATGAATGAATCAATCAATCAAATATAATTTCCATGCCCAGCCGGTGTGGACCCATAAACTAAAAGTGATCAAGCATGGACCCATAAACTAAAAGGTCAGCAATTTGATTCCAGGTCAGGGCACATGCCCAGGTTGTGGGCTCGATTCCCAGTAGGGGGCATGCAGAAGAAACAACTCTCATCAATGTTTTTATCTATCCCTCTCCCTTCCTCTCTCTTTAAAATCAGAAGAGAATTTAAGAAGAGAATTTTCTTAACTCCATAAATTACATAATAAAATTCTAGAGCAAATGTATGCTTATTATGATTGGAATACTTTTAAAATGGATCCTTTCTAATTTATGGAAACTTTCCTTGCATGTTAATACTGGTCTATTTTTTCTTAATGTCCAATTATATTAGAAAAGAATGTATATACTATTTAGTGCAGGATTTTAAAAATATGACAGCTCAAATTTTTAAATTTTATGGTTAGGTCTTTGATAAATCTACTTTTGTGTTATCTGTTTTAATTATCTGTTTTGAGAAAGGCATATTAAAGTCTCTAACTACAACTGTTCATTATTCCCTGAAGTTCTATCAATTGTTAAATAAATTGTGAGGTTGTTTTGTTAATATATATTAAGAATGATTGTATCTTTATGTTTGTTCTTTTATTAGCATACAACATTCTTCCTTGTTATAACAGTTTGTTCATTTAATTCTATGTTATCAGATATAAGATTGCTATTCCGATTTTTTGCCATTCATATTTGCTTGGCACATCATTTTCCATCCTTTTATGCTTAGCCTATTTTGTTTTGTTTTCTGTTTTAAATGTACCTTTTATAGATAACATATGCAAACTCATATTTTTTTTCTAAAAAAATACAATCTGAGAAGCCCTGTCCTTTTTTTCACTTTTTAAAAATTTCTTTATTGATTAAGGTATTACATATGTATCCTTATCCCCTTATTGCCCCCCAAACCCCCACTCATGCCCTCACCCCCCTGTTGCCTGTGTCCATTGGTTAGGCTTATATGCATGCATATAAGTCCTTTGGTTGATCTCTCCCCCTTACCCCCACCCTCCTCTGCCTTCCCTCTGAGGTTTGACGGTCTTTTAAGTGGTGTATTTTAGCCCACTTTTTAAAAAAATATATATTTTATTGATTTTGTACAGAGAAGAAGGGAGAGAGAGAGAGAGTTAGAAACATCGATGAGAAAGAGTCATGGATCAGCTGCCTCTTGCACACCCCCTACTGGAGATATGCCCGCAACCAAGGTACATGCCCTTGACCGGAATTGAACCCAGGACCCTTCAGTCCCCAAGCCGACGCTCTATCCATTGAGCCAAACCAGTCTCGGCCCACTTTTTTTTTTTTTTTAATTTCTCTCTTATGAGGACTTATTTCTGCCACCTTACTTTGTTTCTTTTCACTTTTCCTTCTTTTATTTAATAAAAATTATAATTCTAAATGTTATAATATCAGAATGTTAGTAAAATTATAGCTGTCCCTAAACGTAATTATAGTATTTCATTTTACTATAAGTTCAAAGAAGGGTATAGTTTCCACTAATTTGTATGAGGGTAATTCTTTACCTCATTCCACAATTGTAGCTCTTCCTCAGGCTGTAATCCTTGAGGTAAAATTGGAGCACCTAAAAAAAAAAAAGTTAGACTCACATGTTAATATTATAATACGTATTAAAAAAATTAAACATTTATATATACATTTATTAGTTGCTTAATAGCGGGGATATGTTCTGAGAAATCCATTGTTAGGTGATTTTGTCATTATGTGGACATCATAGAGTGCACTTAGGGAAACTTAGATGGTATTGCTTAACATATACCTAGCTTAATATATACCTAATAGTATAGCCAATTACTGCTTCTAAGCTACAACTTACACAGCATGTTACCGTACTGAATCCTACAGGCAATTGTAACAAAATGCTATTTGTGTATCTAAACAGCCCTGGCCAGGTAACTCAGTTGGTTAGAGTGTCGTCATAATTTGCTAAGGTTACGGGTTCAATCTCTGGTCAGGGCATATATAAGAAACAACCAATGAATGTATAAATGAGTGGTTCAACAAATTGACATTTCTCTCAAATCAATACAAAATAATTAAACATATATAAATATAGGAAAGGTATACTAAAAATACAGTATAAAAGATTTAAAAATGGGCTCTGGCCAGGTTCTCTCAGTTAGAGCATCAGCCTCTAGACTGGAGAGTCGTGGATTTGATTCCTGGTCAAGGGCACATACCTCAGTTGCAGTTCTATCCTAGCTCTGATCAGAGTATGGCGGGGGCGGGAGGCGGGGAGTGGGGGAATGGAAGGGGGGGATGGAAAGTCAATAGATGTATCTCTCTCACATTGATGTTTCTCTTCCCTCACTCTTCCCCACCTCCACTCTCTCTATAAGAAAAAAACAACCAATGACATCACCCAAACCCAAGAAAGGTTTTTGATGCAGTCACAGATGTAATCCTCCCATAATTGCCTTAGTCTCTTCTCAGTGTTTTCCTCAGTTGCAGCAATAGCCTATTCAAAGTTCCTGCTCCTGTCATAGGCCTGAAAGGTGCTATAATTCCTTGATTCATTGTTTGGATCAAAGAAGTAATGTGTGAGATGATATAGAGATGAAAATCACCAATGAAAAGAGGATATCTTGGAGCATTATCAACAATAACCAAAATCTCAAAAGGTATATTATTCTCCAAACAGTACTTCATTTCACTGGCGCGGCAACTCAGGAGGACATCTTGGAAGAGAAGTTGGGTCATTCACAACTTCTTATTGCTCCTGTAGGACAGTGTGTGCTTATGGATAGGCCTCCAGGTCCTGGGGTTCTCACTCTGCCAGATCACAAAGGGTTTCCATTTGTAGCTTGTGACATGGCCCCGCGTAAGACTGTTCTCCTGTCCCGAAAAGCCTGGGAACCTGGCATCGACATGGCCTTCTTTTGTGTGTGTGTGTGTTTTTTTCTTTTTTCTTTTTTAAAATATATATTATTGATTTTTTACAGAGAGAGGGATAGAGAGTTAGAAACATCGATGAGAGAGAATCATCGATCAGCTGCCTCTTGCACACCCCCTACTGGGGATGTGCCCACAACCAAGGTACATGCCCTTGACCGGAATCGAACCTGGAACTTTTCAGTCCGCAGGCCAACGCTCTATTCACTGAGCCAAACTGGTCTTGGCAGACATGGCCTCCTTTTGGATGCAAGTCCTTTCAGGCATCCATTTCAGAATGGGGAGTTTTCATACATGCTGAACATTATTTGCTCTGGCAAGTAATTTTCCACTACAAATGCTTCAGCTGCCTTCACATCAGCCCGTCAGACGCACCACTCACTTTCTCATGATGTAATCAAAAACAAGTTTTGAATTGCCACCCGGAGGCTAGCAATAAACTCAACAGTGTAGTCGGGTCCAGCCTTTTCTCTCTCACATCATAGATTTGCTTAGGACTTTTTTGCTTTGACCACGATCATCATGGTGCTGAGAGGGGTAACTTCTGTGTCCGTTCTCCAATCCAGGCCGTGTCTGTCTGAGGCCCTTCTCAAATTATGTTAGTTTCTCTGTCTTTAAAGAAGTGGATCCTTAACAAGGAAGTAGATCCTGTCACTTTGTTCTTGTTCTTCAAGATTATAGTGATGGTGAAGTGGGGTATGCCTGACTGGCAAGCAACAACCATCACTGATCGTCCACCTTTGTAGTCAATCACTTTTAATTTTGTTTCCAGGTCAATCACTAAACACCTCTTATTGGCAAGATTAGCGGTGGATTTTGTTTGCTTAGGGGCCGTGATGAAAACAACATGAGATTAAATCAAGCACAAGAGAAAAGGAACAATTAACAGACACAGCAAATACGAGATGCATGAGGCTGCTGCTGGCATAACACAACATCCTGTTTTACAGCAAACCTTTTTTTTTTTTTTTTTTATCAGTATAAAGAGTACACTCTAAAATAATGATCAAAAGTATAATATAGTAAATGCATAAAACAGCACCATAGTCATTTTTTATCATTATCAAGTATCATGTACATTACCTAACTATTTGTGCTATACTTTTACACAACTGTCAGTGCAATAAGTATGTTTATACCAACTCACAAGCAATGCATTATGGCAGGACAATCAGATGGCTAGGACATCACTAGGCAATAGGGATTTTTCAGCTCTATTATATTACTAGAGGCCTCGTGCATGAAATTCATGCACTGGAGGGGGGTGTTCCTCAGCCCAGCCGGCATCCTCTCCAATCTGGGACCCCTTGGGAGATGTCCAACTGCTGATTTTTGGCCCGATCCCTGTGTGATTGGGCCAAAACCAGCAGTTGGACATCCCTCTCACAATCCGGGACTGCTGGCTCCCAACTGCTCGCCTGCCAGTCAGTCTGATCACCCCCTTACCACTCCCCTGCCAGCCTAATTGATGCCTAACTGATCCCCTGCTGGCCCGATTACTACCAACTGCCCTCCCCTGCCAATCTGGTTGTCCCCAACTGCCCTCCCTTGCTGGCCTGGTCACCCCTAACTGCCCTCCCCTGCCGGCCATCTTGTGGTGGCCATCTTTGACCACATGGAGGCAGTCATCTTGTGTGATGGATGGCATGAGAGTCAATTTGTTTATTACCTCTTTATTATATAAGAATAGGACCTCTATCATTGACTGAAAGGTCATTATGCAGCACATGACTGTAGTTACATTTGAGTTCATATAAGAAGACATACTTATGAAATAAACCTTTATAATATTATGAAGGCATTACTCTCAGGAAAGAATCACATATGTCCACACAAAAACTTGTATTAGTGCATGAATGTGCATGGCAGCATTATTCATAATAGCCAAAAGTACAAAAAAAACATCCAAATATCTACTGTCTGGTGTATCAGTAAAAAAATATAGTACATCCTCACAATAGAACACTATTAGCCATCAAAAGGAATGACAAATCTCAGAAGGAAGGGAGGAGAGGGAGACAGGAAGAAATTTACCAAAGAACTTATGTGTATATGGGCATAACCCATGGATATGGACAATAATGTGGTAAGGGCCTGTAGGAGGTTGATGGGGGCAAAATGAGGGTGGTGGTGGTGATATAGCTATAATATTTTCTTTCTTTTTTTTAAATTTTATTTTATTGTTGTATTACAAATAGTACATGTCTCCCCCCTCCCCACTATCTGAAATTCTTTCAACAATAAAAATTAATAATAATTATTATAATATAAAAGAACTACAGATGCTCCTCAACATATGATGGAATTACACCCCAATATCACAGCTTAGCCTAGCCCATATCAGATGTGCTTACATTAGCCTACAGTTGGGCAATTATGTTGAGTTTCATCTCAACAGTAATTGCCTCCCTCTTTTTGTCACCATAAGCAGGAGATACATTTTGTTGCCATGGTGGGATGCAAAACACAAAACACAATATCCCCAAAATGGTGGCAACACAGTGCTATTATAGTACCCTGCGGAGTGTCAGTTGGTTACCCTCACGATCACACGGTCCCCAGGGAGCTGTGACCTGCTGCCGCTGCCTAGCATCACAAGAGCTTGTCATACCACACACAAGGTGGGGCAAAAGTTTACAGTTGTTCGTATGGAAAATGATACAGTAATTAATAAATAACTACTAGTAATAGAACAAGAATAAACTCTGTTTCACATACTCACAACTGTAAGCCTACTTTTGCCCTATCCTTAATTGTTAGCCTGAGAAAGGATCAGAATTCAAAGAATAGTTTCCGCTAAATGTATATTGCTTTGTGCCACCATGAAGTAAAAAAAAAAATAAAAAAAATAGGACGTCGAGCCACCATTAGTGGGGGACTGTCTGTACTGGTATATATTACAACATCGCTGAACATCAGACATAAGAGACTAAGTCAAATACGACCAAACATTGTATGGTCTCACTTATATGGGATTTCTAGAAAAGGCAAATCAATAGTGATAGAAAAATGAATGGTTGCCTGGAGCTGGGAATGGAAATGAATTTTAAGAATTCTTCAGTGAGCAGGGGCCTGACTAGAAAAGGACACTTCTTAATTTAGTCCTGGGCACCTTATCACTTACTGTCACAGATCAAGTCAAGTGATAGCTTGTTGCAGATATCCCAAATGTTGCCCAGTTATAGGAAATTTCCTTCTTTATTTTAATACTAGTAGCCCTGCACACGAATCTGTGCGCCAGTAGTTTGCAAGTAGCTCGCTGCCGCTCTCCAGTAGCTCTCCACCCACTGCCTCGCCCTCCTGTAGTTCCCCCCACCCCACTCCCCTACTTCCCACCTCATAGCTTGCTGCCCTGCCCCCTCCTGTAGCTCTCCACCGCCCACTCATAGTTTGCTACCCCACCCTCCTGCTGATCCGTGTTCCGGTTGTTACATGGTCAGTCCTTATACTTCATGGCATAACAACCATTTGCATATTACATCTTTATTATATAGGATTGTTCTCTGAATAGTAAACAGTTTCCATCCACAGAATCCAACTGGCCCTTTGTCTTCTCATTGCTATCGCATGCTCTGCTAATTCATTCATTGACACTGTTTTATTTTCTTCTGGCTTCGTGACCTACATTAATATTTATTTGTTTTTAGACACATCCAGTTGCATCTCCTGTAAGGGTTAAATCCAGGTAGATTCTCTCCCAGGTGTGCTTATGTAAGTCAAGCTTCCCCATCAGTGTCATCTTTAGAGATTCAGGACTGGGGCACATCACACTGTGTATGCACCCTCTCCCCATTTCTTCACAACTGTGAGACATAAAATTAGCTTTTGGTATCAAGAGCAGTCTGAAGGGGAAAGAAGACACAAAAGGGCCATTTGGGAGGTCTCTGTGTACTGACAGATGTGTTTCATCCCTTTGCTTGAGAAAGGTTAGGGAATATTTATGAGTCAATCGATCAGACAGCAGATAGGCTATTTGGGAAATGAAGCCCAAGATGCATCTTTTTTAGAAAGCAGCTGCTGCCTTCCATAGTTTCTGTTCAATCAGCAGCACCCCAAAGTGCCCTCTCCTCAAAAGCAGGTATCTCTCACTGATGCCCACACCACTGCAAACACATACCAGGTAACCTGCATGGAAAGTACATTTGCTTTACAAAGGAAACAAACGAAAGAAAGAAAGAAAGAAAGAAAGAAAGAAAGAAAGAAAGAAAGAAAGAGAGAGAGAGAGAGAGAGAGAGAGAGAGAGAGAGAGAGAGAGAGAAAGAAAGAAAGAGAGAAAGAAAGAAAGAAAGAAAAAGACAAAATACACCACACGTTTAAAACTATGATTATCTGCTTCCTTGGCAAGCTAGATAAAGATCACCTTCCTAATTTTACCAATACTAAACTGAAAAATATCACCATTCCTTTGCATAAGTCACTGTGTCTCTGCTGGCTGTGATGGAGAAGGCTCTGGTTTCCTTTCTTTCTGTTTGCTTAGCTCTCAAAGTCAAACTACCTTGTTTTTCAAGCAGCGGACTCTTCCTTCTCTCCCCTCCCACCACCAGCAAGGAAAGGAGAAAACCAAAACCATTAGAGGACAATAATAAAAAGAAATACCTTGGGAAAAGGAAAAATAGCCTCTGTCTCCCCACCTCTACCTGAGAGCCGACCTGCGTGCTCTGAAAGGTCCCTGTTCCCGGTGACATTCTGAACAATGAGGAATGGGCCTGCTGTCTCTGACAGGGGGGAAGAGGGAAGCTGGGAAATGCATGGTCTTAGGCCAGTGGCTGCCCTGAAGGAGAATCCCTCAAGGCCCCTGGAAAGGTAACCCAGAGAGACTCGGTAAGGGATCTCCCCACTCTGAGGTGCGCTCTGCTCTACCCTCCCAAGCTTCCGACCTCCCCCCCTGACCATGTCTTTGCTTTTTCCACTTCTTTCCTCTAACCCAAGCTCAGGACGTCCCTGTGGCGATCAAGTCGCATCTGCTTTCCACCTGAGCTATAGCATAAGCTGAAAGCCTGTTCGCACAGGTGCCTCTCCAACCCTGTATGCTAAAAAACACAAACATAATAAATAAACACACACACACACACACACACACACACACACACACACACACACACACACACACCCCTTTTCCGGATCTGGCGCCTGAAACCTGCAAGGCGCAGAGCCTCTCGCTCTCACCCCTCTCTCTAACCCTCTAACCGGAGCGGGGCCGGTGTCTCCGGCGCAGACGGAGCGCTCTCCACACTGACTTCGCAGCGGCAGGTGCAGCAGCGCGCTCCCTCCGGTTCTGCTTAGACCACCGACCCCTGCGCTCACTCCGATCGCAGGGGAAGCATCTCCATTCCGCTCTTCCCGCTCCCGTTACCCGTGGGCGAGTTTCCCCGCCGCAGGCTGTCCCCCACCCCCCCGGGGGGCTCCGAGGCCCCTGCGCCCTGGCTGCAGCGCTGGGGCCGGGCGGACGGGGAGCGGGGCGCGCGGCCAGGAGGCTGCCGGGGGGCGCGGGGGGCGCGGCCAAGGGGTGCTGGGGGCGCGGGGCGCTCACCTTGGCCGGCGCCCGCCCAGCAGGCCAGCAGCAGGAGCAGCAGCAGCGGCGGCGCAGGGAGCAGGGGCGTCGCGGCCCCTTGTCCGGGGGGCGTCCTGGGGAGGCGGCTTGTTGCCGGCGGCATCTCGGCGCCTGCGGACGGACAGATGGACGGACGGCTCGGGGTTCGCGGGGTGGGTGTCGGGCCTCGCCTCTGCGTTCCCGGAGCGCACTCGTGGGGCTCGGCCGCGGATCTGCCAGCCCCGCTCGGCGCCAACTTTTAAGCCCCGTGGACACGTGGGCGGAGGCGGCGCGGAGCCCGGCGCCCCCCGCAGCCCGGCCTCCAGGCGTCACTCCGGCCGCTGCCCGACCCGCTCCGCCCCCGGGGGGACCCGCGCCCCCGTGCCCCCGCTCTGACTCAGGCCACCCAGGGCTTCGTCACCGCCGCCCTCGGGACTTCGGGAACGCGGAGAACGGAATTAAAACAATGAACCCCATTCCCTTCGTTGGAAAAATGGGGTGGCTTCGGAAGGGGAATGGCAGACAGGTGGTCCCAGGAGGCTGGGGCTTTTCACTTGGATTCGCCACCCTCTCTCGGTTCTTGAGCGCGTCTGGGACGTCCCTGCTTCCTCCCCCTCCTGGGGAAGCCTGCCCTGCCCTCCCCACCTCCTGTGGGACCCCCTCTTCTGACCACATAGCACCTGGCTCACTCATCCCTCCCAGCTCCTAGCAGGATGCCTGGTGCCTATGAAAACGCTGGTTCCACTGTGATGTTGATGCGCCCAAATTCCTGCGAGGCCTGAGGCCCCTTGGGGCAATGGACTTGTCTGTTAATGAAGGTCGAGAAGAAAGGACCTTGAGGGGGCTGGATCACACATACTGATAGGTCCTCCCTTCCCCCAACTGATGGACGGAGTGTGACCTGCACCTGCAGCCTGAACATTCCTGAGCACCTAACCAGGCACCTTCTATGGCCTGTACATTGAACCATCAATCAGCACCTGCCCCCGCTTTCTAAGTCCTTAATCATGTGCCTTATATGAAGCCACCAATCAGCGGGTGCCCAGTAACCTAAGCGCCATCCCTCCTCTTTCCTCCCCTCAAAAGGCGCCTTCACCCCTGCACTTGTGCTCTCTCTTCCTTTGGACGGCAGCCTAACAGGGCTCTTCTCTTCTAATAAAGCCTGTGTCCTGGTCTCCGGCCCTCTGTCTCATCTTTCACATGCATTTCTAACAAGTCTAGAAAGTCTCGGGGTTACCTTGTGGGTGGATTTCCAAGCCTAAGGTAACCCCTTTTCCTTTGCAGCTCAGCGGCTCTCCATCCCTGGAAGATGCATTCTGATTTCTAGGGTGACCCGACTTCTGCCGTCCCTGTGGGTGCTTTCCTTCCTAAGTGGAACTGTTCAGGAACAGCCTTTTTCAGGGTGGCCCCGATAAGGTTTTAATTTCCTTCTACAGAACGAGCGAGGGAAGGCCCATCTTGTTTTATCTCCATTTGAAAGGAACGCAGAGGAAAGCGTAGGAAGGAAGTACATTAACATTTCTTGAGGGATGTCTTTAAGTCAGGCACTTTCCCTTGCTATTTCTTTTCATATTCGTGGCATCTCTGGGATGTTGAAGTATTTTGCTCCTCCTTTGATGATGAGAGATTTATACCATCTGTTCAAGGTTGTCAGCATGTGAGAGAGCCACTGTCCCTTCTACTCTCCCAAGAGGCTCCTCCCCCAATCAGGCTTTTTAATGTATCAGGTGTGCATTGTGTGGCCCGCTATAATCAAGGCCTGCCCTTAAGGATACCACACTTCATAACAGAAGGACCTTCCCCAAAGGAATTTACAATTAGGTAAGGAAGCCCAAACTCACACTCAAAGAGCTGCATTACAAGGCAGCCTGGGAGAGTGCTCTGTCAGAAATACAGAGAGAAGCCAGGTTATAAGCCCCGCAGAAACAGTGAACAAAAATAATGGCTACCATTTTTCAGTTCTTTGTACACACAAAACCTGTGAGCTAGGCCAGATGATAGAGCCTGGTCCAGGTGCAAGGATGGATGAGAGCAGCTTTGATTCAAGAGTGCTTGTGCTTTGATTCATTCCCAGAGTAATAAAATAGTAGTGCAGACGATGCGAAGGAGGTAAATGAAATAAGGATGTAGGAAAGCCTCATTGCTTTCCTCCTGTCTCACTGAAAGATGCCACCTGAGTTCGTGGCCGATATGGAGCGAGATGTCAGTGGAAACAGAGAAGATAGTGGGCTCAGTGCTTTCTAATCAGGTGGCTCTCAAAGGATCAGCAAAAGAAAAACTCATGCATTACAAGTTCTGCTTTGTTTTTTTTTTTGTTTTTTTTTTCTTGCACAAACCAAGCTGTTCTGAATGTTCGTGTACAAGTTCCTTGGTGCCCATGTGGAAGAGTTTTCTGGGGTATAACTTCAGAGCAGAGGATTTAAGTCATAGGGGATAATCTAGTAAACTCTGCTCTACATTGGTTTTGCAATGTGCTGTGCCGATTTACACTCTACTTTGACCTTGCAATTACCTTTGCCAGTCTGGTGGGTGTGGCATCTCACTGTGGATTTGCAATTCCCAGTACGAGTGAGGTTGAATATTGGCCATTATTGTTTTCTCTTTAGTGAGATGTCTATGTATTTCTTTTGCCCATTTTCTCCCAGGGATTGTTAGGTTTTGTGTGTGTGTGTGTGTGTGTGTGTGTGTTTTCCATCCTAGTATAGGCATGTCTTATGTATTCCAGAACTTTTGTTAGTTAAATGTGTAGTAAATTTTACTCCATGTTTATGAGATTTTCTACTCTCTGTATGTAGGAGTTGTTACTTTTGAAGAAATGCTGAAGAAAAGCCTTGCAAACTAATGGTGATGCCATTATGTGATTGGATGATAAAAGAAGATGGATGGGGGATTCTGAGTACCATGCTGATTCCTCTCATCTGTTATTGCTTACATTCCTGACCACACATTGGCAACTGGACTTCAATTTCTGCTTACAACCTGCAAGAATTAAAACTCAGTTAGATCGTGGACTTCCAGATTGGCTAGACCTGCTAGCTTGTCATAGGAACGTCCAGAAAAGTCATCAACAAAAAACATTAGGAAGAGTAGGATGCTTGCATATCAGGAGAAGGGGAGAGTTGGCAATAAAAACCAAATAGAAATACAGGGAGGCAGTAGTTAACAATAGTGAAGTCTAGTAATAGGTGAAAAGACCCAGCTTTAGGAACTGAGAGTAAGGGCAAGATCTGAAGATTTAGTAATTCTAGGCAAGATCTGCATTCCTTCAACTATTAACTGAGCACCTAAGTTCCATTCTAGAAGCTTGGGATGCAGCAGTAGCCAAGTCAGATAAAAACTCTGCCTCGGTGGAGTTGGCAGATAGCAATGAGAAAACAAAACAAAAGTAATCTCAGATAGTAGTAAGTGCTACAAAGAAATTAAAACAAGGTAATAAAATAATAGAAGATGACTGGGAGTTGGGGGACATATACTTGAGACAAGAGTGTCTAGGCTTGCCTGCTCAGAGAAGATATTAGAGGCCAGAAAGATGAGAAGAAAACTGTCAAAAGAACTGTGAAAAGGTGCCAGGCAGAGGGAACATCACGTGCAAAGGCCCTGAGGCAGAAAGTAGTCTGAACCATTCAAGAAGCTGGAGGAAACCAGTGTAACAGACAGGAGGTGAATGGGTGGAGTGTGGGGGTCTGAGGTTAGATAAGTAGACAGGGTGGGTCCTGATCATTGAGAGGTCTTGGAGGCCATGGCAAGGAATTCAAATTTTTCTCTAAGTAAAATGGGGAGCCTTTGGGGGATTTTAAGTAAAGGGATAATCTGATTTAACTTTGGAAAAGAGTACCCTCACTTTTGAGGTGAGCAGGTTCTAGTAGAAGACTCTAGTAGGAGATTCTAGTAGTAGACTCTAGTAGAAGAGGTAGAAGGACATTGCATAGGTCCACTCCAGAAAAGAGATGAAGTACTATATATACCACAACATGGAGGAATCTTGACAATATTATGCTAAGTGAAAGAAGCCAGACACAAACAAATGGCTACATATTATATGATTCCATGTATGTATAATATCCAGAACAGGCAACACTAAGGAAACAGAAAAATAGATTAAGTGGTTTCTAGGGTCTGGGGAGATAGAGGAGTCACTGCTAATGAGTACAGAGGTTTCCTTTTGAAGTGATGAAAATGTTCTGGAATTAGACATCAGTAATGGCCCCATAATCTTGTGAATATACACTAAGTGGCCAGATTATTATGTGTTCAGAGATCATAATAATCTGGCCACTCAGTATATACTGTATATTAGAGGCCTGGTGCATGAATTCGTGCATGGGTGAGGTCTGGCCCGCCTGGCCAGGGGGAGGGGACATGGATGGTTGGCCAACTTGCCTGCTGGTCGACCTCCTGGTCAAGGGGACAATTTGCATATTAGCCTTTTATTGCATATGATACACACTGAGTGGCTCTATTATTATGAGTTCAGAGATCATAATAATCTGGCCACTCAGTGTACTAAAAACAGTGAATTCTGCATTTTTTAAAGGATGAATTTTATGGTATATGAATTAAAATCTCAATTATAAAAAAAGAAACAAGTCCAGACCAGATATGATGATGAGAACCTGTTGGACTGAATGGTGGCAGTCTGCAGTTTAGCACAAGAAAAATGTGTCTATTTTTGGTATGAAATATATAAATTTTGCTATTTAATGCCTAGATGTCCTTGGTAACTATGAAATCCTTCTCTACCACACTGTTCAGGCATCTACTTAGTTTCAAGGATACCTCTCAGCCCTCTCCACAAATGTCTTTGGCATCTGGATGAAATTTTATAACTGAGTTTGTCTTCTCTTTGAACACTAATATTTCATAAGTTTTATAGTGACTTCAATAAAATTGTCATAATTATTTTTTCTATCTATCTCTTCAACTATAAATAGATCAACCTCTGCTTCCAGGAATATCTCTTGACTAAAGTATTTTGAGTGAACTACATTGTCCTGAGAAATCATCCCAAGAGAAACACAGTTCTAAAAGACAACACATGAACAATCAATACCAAAAAATAATAATAAAAAAGGAAGGCCACGGACCAATTTACACCTACATTTCTCATGACTTCCTGGTGTAGGATAAATAACTTTGCCCTGATAATAACACTGTTATTCTTTTTTTTTTTTTTTTTTTTTTTTTTTTTTTTTTTAATATATTTTATTGATTTTGTACAGAGAGGAAAGGAGAGAGACAGAGAGCCAGAAACATCG